TCATAATACCTTTAATTTGGACTCTTTTGACGGCATATATGTTTTCATCGATTCTGTGCTTTACTTTATATACGGTTCCAAAACCTCCGGAACCGATGGCCGATAACTCAATGAACAGACTTTTGTAATGGTTTTCATGCGAATTATGTCCCAATTTTGTTACAACTATTTTGTGCATAAAATATATTAATTATAACAAATACAACAGCAATCATATTATTTATTTAAATTAAAACAAATAACAAAATACCTTCATTTGTATTAGTATTATATTGTTTTGGTTTAATATTTGGCGTTTTATTTGTTTTCATTACAGATTCAGAGAGATTTGTGACCATGTTCATATTTATATGCAGTGTATTATAACTTAGTTGCCATACAACTGCATAAAAATCTATAAAATTATTATATTTAGATTTTTTCACATCGTTTGGTGAGGAAAGTACGCAAATTGTGTCATCAGTTTGTATTAATACGATATTTCGACCAACAAGTGAATGCATTTCATCAATCTGTTGAACGTTTAATTTCATTGAAATTGGTCTGGGTAGTATATCTATTTGGACTTGTTTCATATCATCAGTATATTTACCACAAAAATAAATTATATTACTATTGGATACAAAACATGTGAAATTATTTTCTTTGTTTTGTGTGGAACAAATCGATTTAATATCATTTAACTGTGGAATCAATTTGGGGGTCAAAATGTTTTCTGGTGATTGATGTCCACATTGATGGTCACTATTATAACCCAAACTGAATACCAAACCATTTAAAGTAATTGTGAATGAACTCGTGAGACTACAAAATATATATTTCATGTCATAATTGTTTTCAAATTGTATCAAAACTGGTGAACACATTATATCAATTTCAAAGTACCCACATCCTATTTGTCCGAAAGTATTGTCGCCCCACCCGTACACCTTTCCATCGGTCGTGAGCGCCAGGGAATGCCAACCACCACAACAAATATATGCGATATTCATTAATTTTAGTTATATTTTATATTGAGAAAAAATATACGAATAAAGGTTCTGATAAATAGAGAAAATCTTGTACTTCATGAATATGACAGCCAATTGTTTCGGCTCAATTCAAAGGTATAAATAAGTGTTCATAAAATGTATAAATAACATAACATTGCACCAAAATGTAACAAAAGGTTCTACACCAAAAGGCCTACAACCGAAAAGGCCTAAACTCAAATAACTGACCAGTGGACATGATTTTAATTAAACTTGTGGAATAGACGCGTCTTGACCTAACCTAACCTATCCTAACCTAAATTAATCCAAATGATCATTGGTCAGTTAGTCATTCAAGTTTAGGCCTTTTGGGTGAGTCCCGTAACAAAATCATGCTTGAATATTTTCAAAAAATTCTTATATTAATTAAAATAGTTACAATTATGATTAATAAATAAAATATTGTAATCTTAGTACATTTGAGTCAGAATAGTGCCACGGCTACAACCATTATCAATACACTCAGCATTGTTATCAATAGATATTAAATACCATAGAAATGTTCACAAATTTAGTAATTTTAGTAGTCATTAATATTAATGGGTGGCATAGAAATGAATGTACCTGGATAAGAATACAGTGCTTACACTGGTTCTGTTAACTCGTAATTTTCGGTCATTTAGTTAACAAACTGATCAGTTAACAAAAGTGGAAATCACAAAGAACTTTGTCGAAATCTGCTTAAGTTTACCCCCTGATAATTATGATTGGATTTTAATGTCCATTAAAAGAGGAGTCCGTATACCTAATTTATATTGACCTGGGACTTCGGGTTCGGCCGCAGTGGCCACTTTTATCGGAAGTTTTGTCTACATAAATGTGCACATGTGATATATCAATTTTGTAGAGAATTTTACACTAAATACGATTTTATATATGAAATTCGAATAAACATAATAATATCATTGGGAGTTCTAATAACTAATTTATATAGTCTTATGACTCACTTTCGGGTTCTGTTACTAGTTATTTCGAGTAATTTTGTCAATATTACTTAAGCCCATGATGTCTAAACTTCCCCACTATCCTTCCCTCATATATAACCAGGGCTCGAGTGCACCCATACGAGCAAATGTCTGCACACTGAAATGGCACTGACTTTTTGGCACATCGGGCCCACCTGGCCCACCGGGCCCATCGAGCCCATCAGACACATCGGGCATACAGGGCATACTATGGCACACTGGACATACTAAAGAATACTGGGCACACCGGGCATACTAGGGTATACTCAATTTAAAATAAAATTTATTTTAGAATTTTTTAATATAATAATGATTCTTCTAAGATCATTTGTGTATAAACATATTTTAAACATTTACATAATATTTATATGTAATTACATTGATTTATCGTATGTTAATCAAATGATCGTAATGAAATACCCTTCGGCATTTAATACAAACACCTTTATTAGCAATGGTATTAAAATATGTTTATACACAAATGATCTTAGAAGAATCATTATTATATTAAAAAATACTAAAATAAATTTTATTTTAAATTGAGTATACCCTAGTATGCCCGGTGTGCCCAGTATTCTTTAGTATGCCCTGTATGCCCGATGTGCCCGATGTGCCCGATGTGTCTGATGGGCTCGATGGGCCCGGTGGGCCAGGTGGGCCCGATGTGCCAAAAAGTCAGTGCCATTTCAGTGTGCAGACATTTGCTCGTATGGGTGCACTCGAGCCCTGTATATAACACTTATACGAGCATATGCCTAAAACATAAGATTTAGCCAAAATATTGTGATTATTCATATTTTTGTACACTAAATTTTCCAATCAGTTTTAATAACTTATGTTTATACGAACTTCATATATAAAATTGTATTTAGTGTAAAATTATCTATAAAATTGATATCTAACACGTGCATATTATTTAGACAATTCCCGATAAAGTGGCCACTGCGGCTGAACCCGAAGTCCCAGGCGAATTAGATATACGGGCTCCTCATTGAATGTACTTTTATATCAAATCATAATTATAAGAGAGCAAGCTTAGGTAGATTTCGACATGGTTCTTTCTCTTATTTGAAGAAATTTTAAAACAATAAACAAATAATTTTTACATTTATAATGAACTTATGAGATGAAAACACGTAAAATGTGTAAAGAATTTGTGTACCATTTGACCGTTTTTGTTAAAAAATTGTGTTAACAAAACTTGATCAAAATTTATATTGTTTTATATTGTTTATGTTTAGAAAAAGTGTTAATAAAAATGGATTGTTAACAAAACTAGTAGTTAACAAAACAGGGCTATGTTTAACATTACAGTCTATTGAAATGACTTTATGTTTCAAGATTTTGTTAACAAAACCAGAAAGTTAACAGAACTAGTGGTGTATAGAACCAGTGTAAGCACTATAATTGTTTGTTTTTATGTGAGCTCAAGGTATATCATACACTCATACTATCGTAACATTTCTATGGAATCGTATAAAGTTTATCACATTTTCCATAACAACACCAAACATATCATAATACAATTGATCGACATTTTGAGTTATTGTCAATTAAAAAAATTAAAAAATTATAATTCAATATTTAAATGGGTATTAGATTCTTGATATTCATAACATAAACTTAATTTGTTGTAATTTGTGTGAAAAATGTCTACACTTTTGGATAATTTTCGTATTTGCGATACGATTGACACGACTATTAGACATGAAATCAAATTATTTCATGTTTTCTACCAAAATGCTGAATATAATATGCTATTTGT